GCTCTCAAAAACACACAGGCATAATACGTCTTTTATCCCAAGGGCGTGTAGATTAACCAACTCATGAAATTAGATCATTGTACATATGTATATAAAACCTTTTAAACTTTCTAAGTCTTACACTCTCATAGGTTATATATGTATTTTAGGGGCGGACCATTAGAAATCCCGGGAGGGGGGGTATAAAATTTTTGCGGCACGAATTTTTTTTTCAGTCTCGTGTCTCTGCAGGAATTTTTTTTAATGCATTTAACCTCTGCACGAATTTTTTTTCAAGACTATTTCTACTTCGCTGTTTGCTTCCACGAATTTTTTTTCTCTGACGTAATGGCTGCACGAATTTTTTTTCCAGGCATTTTCCTTTGCACGAATTTTTTTGGGGGAATTTTCACCCCCCCCTCCCGGGATTTCTAATGGTCCGCCCCTTAGTATAATATTTTTAACTTGTAAATCCATTGTATTTCTATATGCCAAAGATGGATATCTAATAATAAAATTGAAATAAAATTGAAATTGAAATAAAAAAAATTGCATAAAATGTCCTATTAATTAAACTAATTTCAGTACAGTTGCTATTCGCTCATGGTATTTCGGTACAATAACTTTCGTTATTGGGTATTTCATTGAAGCCAACTTAAATTTCAAATTCTCCCCATTAAATTTTCAATTTTGTATAATCTCGCAAGCCTTTAGTCGCGAGTATTATAGCCCTTTCTGGGTACGATAAAACTCATTTGCTCGTGCCAGCTGTTCTAGTTTTCCTGCTAATTTAAATTTGGGACACTCGGTAGTTTAGTTCCAGCATTTCGCACATGCAGTCAAAAGGAAACATCCTATAGAAGTAACATATCACTCGACTATATATAATAGTGTTTTTATTTCTAGCGGATGTAATGAAGTCAAAAGGAGCGAATACTATTATTGCTGTTGACGTAGGCTCAGAATATCCAGCGGAGTTAACCAATTATGGTGACCATCTGTCTGGGTGGTGGTTATTATGGAAGAAATGGAATCCTTTCAGTGAAAAAATATATGTAAGTGATGAATGTAAACTGTTGATATGGTATGGTATGGTACTATGGTATGGTATGGTATGGAATGGTATGGTGCATGGTATGGTGTATGCTATGGTGTATGGTATGGTATGGTGTATGGTATGGTATAGTGTTGTGGTATGGTATGGTATGGTATGGTATGGTATGGTATGGTATGATGTATGATATGGTGTATGGTATAGTATAGTGTGATATGGTGTGGTATGGTATGGTATGGTATGGTATGGTATGGTATGGTATGATGATATAGTGTAATGTGGTATCGTATAGTATAGTATGGTGTGGTATGGCATCGTATGGTATGGTATGGTGTGGTATTTTATGCTATAATCAATTTTCTTGTATACAATATTTAATTATTTATTTTCGTTATCTCGCTTCTAGATTCCCAACATGGCTGAGATCCAGAGTCGTTTAGCGTACATATCATGTATGCGACAGTTAGAAGACTTGAAAGAAAATAAATATTGTGAATACCTCAGACCTCCTATAAACAGGTAATTAACATCTAACAAACCGCATACTGTGGCAATATTTAAAACGAAATGAGCAGGAATGCCAGCTTAGGGCTTTTCGAGTTCGAAAAGAGATAAACTCTAATCGTTTTGATAGTAAATAAAAGAAAAGCCTTATTAACAAACAAGGGCAGTTTGTCATTGAATTTACCACATAGACATCTGAACGCTACCAGTACTTTTGAAAACGACCTACCGAGGGTCGATAGTCTTCTACGTACTAGTTAAAACATGAGCATCCGATCTTTATCTGATATACAAACTCGAGCCGAAGGCCGAGAGTTTGTATATCAGATAAAGATCGGATGCGAATGTTTTAATGTGCTTAAAAAACGACCCATTTCATGAGTTCATTGAGTAATTTTAAAAATAAGCATTGTCTAAGCCGAGAAAATCAAAGCTGAAGTTTATGTAAATCAGGACAAATTTTTAGTAATGTTTACAACACGGACGTGAATATTGTAAACAACTTAAAAAACGACTCATCTTATGAGTTCATTGGCGAAGTAATTTTAAAAATAAACGTTGTCTAAGCCGAGAAAGTTTATGTAAATCAACATGAATCTGTATCACATATACAGATACGACACGCTTATGATTTTTCTTTGTGTTTTCTTCATGAATTATTAATGAGTTTTTTAATCCGATTTACAAATTAGTATTTGAAGTACCAATTAAAACACGAGCAGGAGTGTTTTATCATATTTAACACGACTATATACCGTATACCGTCTCGTTAGTATTCTTTATATAAAGAATACTGATTAGGACGGACTTTTATTTAAAGAATACTAATGAAGATGAGTTTTATCAGGTACAAAGCCTCTTCACGTGACATATTATGGTTGACATGATTTGCCAATAAGCTTATCAATTATTAATTAGCGTTTGATCATTTTAGATAGCTTACAATTTGAACAAGAAATGAATGAGTTGTTTGCCTCTCATTGCTAATGTAGAAGTATAATGTGGCTTTAGCGTTTAGGTAGACAATTTTATCATTACACTGCCACGTCCGTTGATCAAAAGGTAATTTAAACTTTGTTACTTTTCAGATATCACACGTTAGAATTTGGCAAATTTAGTGAAATTTTGGTACGTATTTCCTCGCTAACAACTATTAGCTCCAGAAACTTTTACAGTGAACAATTGTTTGATACCTATGAGTTTATGACAAGCAGATACGGAGCTTTACAGTCATTGTTTTCATTGTAGAAAATAGGTTATGATTATGGTCAAGAGATATTCCAAGAGTGGGCAAAAAGCAAGAGGTCTGACCTGTTCCCCGATCTTGCCACCATTAGCTCTGCAAGTCGCCCTGAGGTATGGAAGGAATGTTGTTTCAGTGTATGTCATTACATTGTGTGTCATTAGTATGTCAGCCATGGAGGTCATGTTTTCATTTGTGCTTGTATATGTGTTTGTGTAGCACGATGGTTAGATATGACATCAGAGTGGCCTCTGGTTAAATTTGAAATCGTTTTTGTACATTTTAGCTTCATGAAAAGCGACCAGTTAGCAACGTGAAATCGATCTCCGATTTCGCCAAGCTCGTCTCGCGGGTTGAACACCCGCACAAACCCCTTAAATTCATCACAGCCTTGCCCGAGGGTTACGAGACCTCTGACGATGAAGATGGCGGCGCGGTCAGCGAACCTCATCGCTCAGGATCACTTGGGGATCACGAGGAACTTCTAGGTGGTGGTGATGGGGGGAATTTTGGGGTAGGATTCTCTAGCACTGATGAAGCTGACTATAAGGTTAGTATATTGAATGTTTTGGTCCATGTATCTGGCTGGGTGAGATAAATCGTGTACTTGCATAACGGAGGTTGCTTCAGTGGCTCTGCAACTGCGGTTACAATTTGCAGTTATTTTTTATAAATGTTCGCCAATAATTTTCATAGTAAGGAGTGACACTTAGTTTAGAACTGATAGAGCTATCTAGTATAAATAAAGTTGGTTTAGTTTAGGTTTCCAGTCCTGTATAACGCTGGATCAATAAGAAATTATCCTTACTGGACCTCTAGGAAGACCAGTCCAGAACTGATAGAGCTGTCCAGTATAAATAAAGTTAGTTTAGTGTAGGTTTCCTCCTGTAGTAACACTGGGTCAATAAGAGATGTCTGTTGCTGGATCTTCAGGGAGAACAGTTTAGAACTGATAGAGCTGTCCAGTATAAATAAAGTTAGTTTAGTTTGGTTTTCCTCCTGTAGTATCACTGAATAAATAAGAGATGATTCTTACTGGACCTCTAGGAAGAACAGTTTAGAACTGATAAAGCTATCCAGTATAAATAAAGTTAGTTTAGTTTAGGTTTCTTCCTGTAGTAACACTGGATCAATAAGAGATGATCCTTGCTGCGTGGTCCTTTAAGAAGAACAGTGTATAGAACTGATGGGGCAATGTAGTGTAATTAAAGTTAGTTTAGTGTTGGTTTCCCCCTGTTGTAACACTGGATCAATCAGAGATGATCTTTACTGGACCTCTAGGTCTTCGCTAAAAAGCTATCCGGTATAAATATAGTTATTTTAGTTTAGGTTTCCTCTTCGATTCAAATAAATATCCATTTCTTCTGTCCTATCTTTTAGTCTGACGACATACACGTTCGACGAAGGACTGGCACTAGAATGTTTCGCCTGAGCAGTTCAGAACCTCCTGAATGATGGTATTTAATAAACTACGGATACAATGAATTAATATAAAGAATATTTATATTTTGATCAAAATGTTGTAGTATTTGTAAAGTGTGTGACATATATATTTTATAATAAGATTTTTTATTTAAACTGTGATTCTTTTGTCTATAAAACATCCATGGTAACGGTACCATCCAGTTACGATCCAGTGATCAGAATGTTCCGTTGTTATTAGGGGCTGTTCATATGGGGCGAGCCAGCCCAGGTACCCGAGTTAGCGTGGTTTAGACGAGATCCTGCCTTTGTTATTATTTCCTACTAAATTTTATTTTGCGTTTATATGGGAACCGAGCTGGCCCGTCTAATGTAAAAGTTTCGTGTAAACACGGGATAAAATTGGCTCGCCTTCATATAAACTGCTTGAAAAACTCATGGATGATATTTCAACAAAAGAATGGCACCATCAGGGTGTTAGCTAGCCCATATACTGTCCGTTTGACGGACTCTTCCCAATTGAAGTAGCTAAGGGGCTTTCCCAACTGGGTCTACAGGAAGATTTTCATTTTTTCTGATGAGAAAGTCATTGCGTTTGATTTTATATTATTATATCAAAGAACGTTTTATTTACTTTTTCCCATTAACTATTTTCTCAAAATGTATCGCGTTTCATTCATATTGGGTGTGTATTCACTGAAATGAAATTTACAAAACAAAGTGTAATCGGTGTGCATCCGAGTTCATTCACCGGAAATGAAATATACAAAACGAAGTGCCATCGCGGGTGCATTTTTCAGTGTTCATTCACCGGAAATGAAATGTACAAAACCAAGCTACCGTTGTTTGCATCTAAGGAGAAACACGTTGGAAAAAAACACTATTTATTCCTACACAAGGACTTTGATCGGTCAAAAAAACTTTCCCAATTTACGTTTAACGGACAAAACGTTTTTCTTCTGGCTAACACCCTGACCATGCAACATGGCCGAACAGCAAATTATTTTTAAATTTTACGACACATATTATGATATTAAGAAAGTAAAAATTTTATTAGCTATCATTTCGTTATTTGCAATATCTTCATCGCCTTTTAAATGAATGATAGTAAATAAAAATACAGTCTCGAAACTCGGCCAAAGTCTTCATGTATGTCGTATCGTTTTGTTCTTCATCTTCCTCTTTTAAACGCACTGTATGTGAATTAACTATGGTTCGAATGGAAGGGCAGGTCGAGAAGGACTATTTCTGCTTTTACAATCTTTAACAAAGTCAAAATTTTTCATCTTTTGTTCAAGAGTTGTGTTCCAGGAAACCACAGTGGCTGGATTACTCAGAAATACTTGATTTTCAATCTTTCCTACTTGTCGTCCGATGAATAAGAAATCTTCGTATGGAAGCTCGTTTTCGAAGTTTAGATCTGGAATATATATGTACAATCTTGGTTAGTGGTATGAATTTTGTTACCACCAATGTACCTTTCCAACAACAACAACAACAACAACAACAACAACTGCAGCGACGACGACAACAGCGATAGCAACAATAGCAGCAACAACTGCAGCGACAACAGCAGCAGCAACAACAGCAACAACTAACAGGGACAACAGCAGAAGCAGCAACAATAATAATAATAACAATAACAACAGCAACAATAACAACAGCAGCAACAACAACAACAGCAGCAACAGCAGCAACAATAACAACAGCAACAACAACAGCAGCAGCAACGACAACAACAGCAGCAACAATAACCGCAGCAACAACAACAGCAGCAACAACAACAGCAGCAACAGCAGCAGCAACAACAGCAGCAGCAACAACAACAGCAGCAACAACAACAGCAGCAGCAACAACAACAACATCCGCAACAACGACAATAACAACAGCAGCAGCAGCAACAACGACAATAACAACAGCAGCAGCAACAACAACAGCAGCAGCAACAACACAACAACAACAACAACAACAACAACAACAACAAAAAGCAACAACTACCAGCAGGAACAACAGCGACAACATAAACAGCAACAAGAACAATATAAACAAAATGAACGGCATCAGTTTGAAATATTGCATAAAACATAAAATGTCTAACTGCGCTTACCTAATCTAATATAACTATAATAGATGTCCTTTATCTTTAATTCTTTGACGCTGTTGATCTTTTTCAACTTATCCTTGCCTCTGAACACACTATTGCCTGGAATGAGAATACTTTGGTGCTGGACTTGATGGCATCGTTTTTGGCGACTTTGTGGGAGTGAAACCGTGGATTGGTATGGTACTCCCTGCCCTGTTGAAGGTTGGATGTTTAAAATGCGATGTAGGTTAGACAGTTTTGCAGTGGTTATATTTGTTGTAGATTGTGGTAGTGTTGCTGTTGTCGTTGCTGCTGTAGGATAAGTGTTTGTTAAAGGTGCAATTGTCTTTAAGACGCCTCCTGCGCATCCAACTTTCCTTGCTGTAGATACCACTTGGAATTTGAAAACTATAAAATAAAATTAATATATTGCTATTTTAATTACAGCGATCACAGAATAACTGCTTTGTTCCTTCGACACAAGAAACACAGGAATCATTTCAAAATTTCACTTTAAACTTCGAATTGAAAGATCGCAAGAATACGTTATTCATTTTTAGTCACTAACTGTTGTTCGAACAACGCAAAAGAACGTTATAATGATGACGTATTTGCACACCTAAAGAAGGGGAGGGGGGGGGCACTGGCCCGTATCGTGTCCATTCAATTATACTCCTTTTTATTTGCAATATTTCCAAATTGTTCATTATATTGGTCGTATTTTTCGGATTAATGATGTTTTGGTAATTGGTATTTTGTATTCAAATATATTTCTAAATTCCGCTACAAGCTGTTATTCAATTTTCCGGATTTTGTAACTATTTTCCTTAACAATGAACTTTGTTCCTAAAAGGCTTCATATTTGGCTGCGACTACGAATTCCAAGTAAAATATAAAGACGTAAGATTTCTATTAGGTCATGCACTTGAATTTTTGTCATGCATGCGTATCATATCAAGTGGGTAATTAAATAAAGACAATTGAGTCAAAGGCCATTGAGGCCTACTCACGGATAAGAGTCAAATGAAAGTGTCAGTGTCGTTTTTGCAAACCGGGCACTCTGCGAATTTTGCCATTTCACCCATTTGTCGTGCTTCATTTGCCAAATCAAAAGAACGAACGCGTGCGGCAAACAGTGCGCGCAAAGCAGGATGGTCATTTCCCATCGTTTAACTACCTCACACTCACCCCACCCTCAAGTAACCACAAAGACTCACAGATGTTGCTTCGCAATATCCGTGAGTCAAAAATGAGTCATGATTTCATGTTAGTAGACTGCAAATGCAAGGAAAGAAATAACAAAACATAACATAACATAACCTAAAACAATGGTTTACGCTATACCATCGCTGTAGCCATAGCCTGCCTATCGAAGGGAAGATGGCTGTGAAACTATTTATGTTAATTTGTTAAAATTAAAACCAGGCTGAATTTTAATTAATTCGGTCATATAAAGATTGAGTCACGCGCCTGTATTCAGTACTCATGAAGCACACTCACAAAGAGTGGAGGTTCAATCTGAGCTTCCCTTGAGTGTCAGTGCAGTTTTTGAATAGCTGGAGGGTTAGTGTCGTACCTTACTATGTGACTACTCACCCTCCAGCTATTCAAAACCTGACTCTCAAGAGAAGCTCAGATTAATAACCTAGTCCACTCTTTGAGTGTGAGCGTGAGCGAGCTTTTATACTACACAGGCGACGATCTTTCTCATCAGCAGAAATACAACATTTTAGAACTGAAAATACGCGGAGTGAAGTAGAGAATACTCATGGTTTATATGTGGTTTACAGGTATAAACTGTTATAAACTGGCCGTTGAGAAAGACGTAACTCTATTTTTACGACCCGATATGGAAACCAAGGTTTAGTATATGTCGATAGTGAGCACGGCCCTTTGAAAAGCAGAACATGTGAAAGGCTACAGTGCGTTGAAAACTGGCCGACCAAGCTCCCCAGCTAGAGCCCCCTCCCCCTCTCATACACCCATGACTGTGGAAAAGAGCCTTGATTTGGTAATCGTTCCATGTTTCACGCACCAATATGTGGTAAACGCGATGTAATGGATATTATGGTGTACTGAAAAGTTAACTCACTGGATACCACCATACACATACCCTAACCTTAAACCTAACCCTAACCTAACCCCTAATACCTAACCCCTAACCTATATTGGTGCGCGAAACATGGAACGATAACCCTTGATATTTTTACGTTGCATCAGACGTCGTCTGTAAATCATAACAATACACCCACATCGTCATCACGTGAAGACGCGAAGTCTAACCAATCTAAAGACCTCTTTATAGTATTCTCTTATTTTCTTAATTATGGGCACTTAATAGGAAACGCTTACCAAAACAATGGTTATATAATATCCATAATTTCATGGTGACGGCTATGCTCACCCTTCGTGTGCTAAAAAGCGAATTGCAATGCTTACCTTAGCGGTGTAGCATTCATTTTTGGGTTGTTTTTTCCACGCCTCCTGCTACGCAGGCTAAATGCTTACCTCGTTTGGAATACCTATTTATTGATAAACCTGTCGGAAATATTTGTTTAAAAATTTATAAAAGTGTCTTACAAATAATTACCCGATTTACAGACATTATCATTAAAAATTTCTTTTGAGTTTTTTTTATAATGCCTTTTTAACATAAGTACCATGACCGTGTATAATTCACTTCAAAGCAAACAATTATAGCTAATAAATTATTTTATAAAATATGTATGGTTTAAAAATTTGCCGGACTCTTCTGTCCATTTTTTAACTGTCAATGCTTGGAGTGAATTAATAGTAGTTTCAAAAATTACTGATGTAGCTATTGGCCGGTTTTATTAATATTACGCGTTTAATTTTAATACTATACTTTGAATGGCACACAGATTGTCAACACGATGTGTTCGCACAATGCTTGTTTCCAGTTATTAACAAGTCCGGACCAATTAGTTGCTGTAACATCTTGAACAAGGTCGAGTGACACTCGATGAGGCCAACGGACTCGCAACAAGTTGTTCCGAAACGTTTGACATCGTCTGCACGTAACAAATTCGTACTGAACTACTGAAGTCGATGACAACAACCTCGTTACATTTACATTGTTTACAGATTTGCGACAACGTGCGCGCCAGTGGTGTCTTAGTACAGAAACCGACTAGCCATATATAAAATTCTAAGCAGGATAAAAAAGCTCAGATATATAGTCACTACATGACCGGTTTACTTACCAAACTGCGCTCTGCATAGCCTTGTTTCCAACCTTGTGGGAACTATGGAACTACCATAACATAATCCGAGTACCGCCAATAACCAGACGATTTTAACCAAAATTCGGGATTCCATTTTCTTCGTCGACTATAATACTAAACCTAAATGTCTCCAAAACTATTTATAAGCGGTATTGTCTTTCTATTGAAACAGAATTTTGAATCTCTTTCAAACGCGCTGTTTAACTTGCTCTTCTCACTGTTAATATAGCTCGCTACTCGCGCTTATATATACTGAGGTGATCATTGATCAACGAAATTGAAAACCATTCTTCCGCGTTCGTGATCATAGCGTGAAGCGTAATAGGTGGGACCGGAATTCCTGTTCAAAATAAAGGCGTGCATGTAAAATAAAGATTTTTCTTCCCAATCAGTAAGTTCCCTAGCTTTCGTCGTTTGCACGGCAAGAATATAATTGATTGTTTTTTAATGATGGACACTTCACGATTCGCAAATAAGCTTTTATCCGCAGGCCCAAATCTTCATCAGTGCTATATGCTTATTTGCGTTTTCGCGCGTGCTGACCTGAACGGCTGAACGTGCTTGCCGTGACTGCGAACGTGTGTACTAGTGATGACGTCATTTCAGGGCGTCAGCAGTTGTTTAATTAAGTTGTGTGTTTTCCCCCCGAAGTGAAATTTAAAGGGGAACTCATTTTGAAAGAACCACTACTTTTGGCGACTGTTTGGTTGTATACTTTTTTCAATCACTGTTATACTTATTAGACGAATTTTCAATCAATGTAATATATTAGACAAATTCAGCCATTGATCAATCATTATTAAAAGAACCACTATATACTTTTGGCGACTGACTGGTTGCATACTTTTTTCAATCACTGTAATATATTAGACAAATTTTCAATCACTGTATTATATTAGACAAATTCAGACATTGATCAATATTACTATATAAGGAACCTCTATACAGAAACCGAACTTGATCTTTAACTGGTATATCATATTTCATTTCATCTTGTTTGTACAACCAAGGCCTGATACATGTTGCGTCAAACCTAGCCTACGTCATATCTACAAGGAAGAGCACGTATACGTTTGTTTTGTCGGAAATAATGATTTCCCAAGCTTACCGTTTGCGCTAATAGTCAACTACACAGCCAATTTCGCGCAAGTTGGAACAGATCTGCAACAGATCTGTTAAAACCTGTTGTCAACAAGCCGATATCTGGATGCGTTCGCTCGCCTTGTACCTGTCTGTCTTGACAGGTCCGCATGGCTTGTCAAAAGGTCTGTTACAAACTGTTGTGACAGAGCTGCAGCAATGCTGTTGTCAACAAGCCTGTCGCAAGTTGTTGACACAGAGCTGCAGCAATGCTGTTGTCAACAAGCCTGTCGCAAGTTGTTGACACAGAGCTGCAGCAATGCTGTTGTCAACAAGCCTGTCGCAAGTTGTTGACACAGAGCTGCAGCAATGCTGTTGTCAACAAGCCTGTCGCAAGTTGTTGACACAGAGCTGCAGCAATGCTGTTGTCAACAAGCCTGTCGCAAGTTGTTGACACAGAGCTGCAGCAATGCTGTTGTCAACAAGCCTGTCGCAAGTTGTTGACACAGAGCTGCAGCAATGCTGTTGTCAACAAGCCTGTCGCAAGTTGTTGACACAGAGCTGCAGCAATGCTGTTGTCAACAAGCCTGTCGCAAGTTGTTGACACAGAGCTGCAGCAATGCTGTTGTCAACAAGCCTGTCGCAAGTTGTTGACACAGAGCTGCAGCAATGCTGTTGTCAACAAGCCTGTCGCAAGTTGTTGACACAGAGCTGCAGCAATGCTGTTGTCAACAAGCCTGTCGCAAGTTGTTGACACAGAGCTGCACTGAATGCTGTTGTCAACAAGCCTGTCGCAAGTTGTTGACACAGAGCTGCACTGAATGCTGTTGTCAACAACTTGCGACAGACCTTACGAACCGAGGAAAGCGCCTTATGAAGCTTCGCGTGTATCCACTATTTTGAACAAAAAACGGCCAAACAGGTTGCCATATTACGGTCGTATAGTGTTCCGTAAAATAACAAGACTTTTTCAGTTATGACAAACTTGCGATTTAATTGGTCATTAAGTGCGACCGAAATATGACAACCTATGGCTATGTGGTCACAGGTTGAAGCTATTATAATCTGCATGGCCGTTGAGAAAGATCATGACTCTAGTACCACAGTTACGACCATATGGAAACCAGGCTATATAAGGCCTGTTTTGTACGTCGAATTTCGGTCTCGTCGACTGCAATTCACACAATAGATAATGAAGCTTAATGAGGTTTATCATCTCATGATCTATTGCGGTCTTAATTGCATTCGACACGACCAAAATTCGACGTATAAAACAGGCCTAACGCCCGTATTCTAAAACCACACTCACACTCAATGAGTGGAA